GTAGTACAGGCTGGAAATATGATGAGCAAAGATCTGGCTAGACGGATTCAAGTTGCTAAAGCAAGCCGTAAAGTGCAGACTGACTCCACTCGTTTCAAACCTGAAAACCCCAGGGTGTCGTGTTTACTCTATTTACAGAACAATGTAACTCCTAATTGTGTATTCTTTTATTTTATTTTATTTTTGTACGCGAAAACATATCGCGCTATAAAATGCGAAACAGAATAAACATGTAAGACAACAGAAACTGAGGCATTCCAAATGGCAAAGGAAAGGAACATCATAATCAAAGGCAAACGAAGCAAGCAGTCTAACCATGAAGAAAAAGAAGACCAGTTTTATCATAGTAAAGAAAATACAAATACAAAAAATACAAAGAGAAAATGGAATGAAGAGATTAGCTTCAGGAACCCCTCAGCTCTGCATTAGCTGAAATCCCCGTTTTCAAAAGCGGACAGTGACAATTTGAGAGCATCATTTTTGAATAATTTTTTTGAAGTTCGCAACCACTCGAATGACCACTATACATATTAGGTTGGCAAGATGTACTATCTTCCAAAAATTTCTCAACAGTTCAGAATTCTTCCGAGATTTTCTAAAAGTCCCCTAGTGGCAATTGAAACATTTCTTATAGCGATTACATCTACCTGAGTCCTTCCAAACCATATACGAAGTCTAAGTCTTCCCTGTTAATCAAGCTCTGAAATCCGCTCCATTTGACGTCTACTCGAAACCGTAGTGACGATTTGAATGCATATGTAGCCATATGCATATGTGGCCAGCCGATGCTTAGGTCAGTGCTTTTATGTTACTGGATGAGACTGGTGCCAACTAACAGATCCGTAGTGATGGAAAGCTTGAAAGATTAGGGCGAGTTCCGAAACAGATCCTCGGGCATGCATATGTGGATACTTCCCCCTGGCTACTATGCCACCTCTGCCCTCTCAAACCACATGTAACGACTCAATAAAGCTCATACATTCATTTAAATTACTTCAACAACAGGGCGGAGGTGGTGTAGTGGCAAGTGGCGCGATATCTCCTACGCACGATCAAGGGTTTGAATCCCGGATCGGTGTCAGCCTAGGCCACCCTTGCTTTCCAGCCGAGGGCCGTTAATGGGTACCAGACTCGTCCCGAAGGATAAAAACGCTGACTTGTACATCGGTTGGCCACCACAAGTCATTGTATAGGCCACATAGGCACTCATTACGCCACTACTATTCTGAATGGAAGTCGAGTGCGGGGGCGCATCCCTCAAACGGGATTGATTGACGCTAAAAACTCTATCCTTTATGCTTTTATTCTACTTCAACACTTGTTGATCGATCATCTGGTTGTAATGCACAAACCATACGGACTTTGTAAGCATACAATTGATGATGTTTGCGAACCACTTCATGCAATTTGCTCATTGGCACTTGAAGCTCTGGCGAAGCTTGGCTGTTCGATCTCCGTGTGGTGTTGCGAATGCCGTTTGAATTGCTAGGACAGTTCCGTACAAACCAGTTGACTGTTTGTATGGAGACCAATCCAAAAAATTTACTGAAAAGTTTCGATTTCATGCCTCCGCTACGAACTAATCGATGAATTAATTATCTCCTGCTGAACGAACAACAAATTGAGGTTATTCCTGGGAAGGTTTACTATGGCTCCCGCAACGCTCTTTGACGAAACAGTCACATCGTGTATGAAAGCTCAGAAGATCTATGATCTTCCCATTCCGAACTGTTCTGCTACTTGCAAATGGATTGCCTTCAGGGGAGGGGGGCAGGGATGGAGGATGAGGTGAGGAGCGCTAAAAAAGAAAAAGTTCACCGACATACCTCCGAAGAAGCAAAAGCCAAATCTGGCCTTAGCTTCGTTAAAAAAGCACCATTTCGGCAGAAAGCCGAGCGAATGGTGGACCAGGTAAGCGGTTCCTTCCATTGCCTCGGACGCAAGCCATCTACAAGGCATGAAAGTCGGTTTAATACGGGAACCGTCTCTTACAGAGACCTTCTGGTGCAATTTGATGCAATGGGCAGAGCTTCACAATCAACACATTTCATGCCACGGCA